TTGATCCCCGGTACCAAAAAAAAAAAAAAAAAGAAATGTCTCTGTAGAAAAACATGTCATTCCCTGTATATTGATGTGTGGGGAATGTTTTGTTTCATTTTGTTTTTGCTACTGGGGATCAAACATGGGGCCTCCCCAGCCCCGTGAGCTGCACCCAGCCCTATTTCATATTTTCTGGTCAGGGTTAGCAGTGCCAGGCCTAGCATGCTTTACTGACTACATGAAAGACAGACTCTGTAGCACTCGGAAACACACATGGGATGAGCAGCCACCAGTGAGGATGGCGCGAGGGCCATGGCCATTCGCCAAGTCAGTCTTGCTGCCTCCAGTTTTTTGGTTTTATTCCCAAGCACGTATGGAGTCTGCCACTATTAAACACACCCTCTGACAGAAGCACTCATGTGCCTTCCCCAGCCAGCTGTGCTATGACATGAACACACAAAAGGTTTCTGGCAGGTGGGAAAATGCCCTTTGACAGGTTATCTGCAGCCTCTCACTGAGAAGCAGCTTTACGAATGGTGGCACATGCCAGCAATCCCAGCACTCCGGAGGCTGAGGCAGGAGGACTGCCACAAGTGTGAGGCCAGCCTGACTATACAGTGAGACCCTGTCTCACAAAGTAAACCAAAAGAGCCAGGGATTTAGCTCAGGGTGCTGTGCCTGCCTCACAAGTGCAAGGTCCTGAGTTCGTTCCCCAGTACAGCAAAAAAAAAAAAAAGCAGCTTAAAGATGGCACTTCAGAACTTTCCAAGGAACCCATAGCATAACACAAATTGTTAATGAAAATAAGCTTTATTACATCAAGTAATAAATACATACAAAGATGTAAAGGAGGATAGGTTAATTTGGCTCACATTTTCAGAGGATTCAGTCCATGGTTGGCAGGCTCCAAGGCAGGAACATCATGGCAGAAGAGCACAGCAAAGGAAAGGTACTTAGTTCATGGTAATAATGAAGCAAAGCAAGGGAACAACACCAGAGAAGAAGGCCCCAGGGACCAGATATACTTGAGCTCATGCTTCTATTACCCACCAAGACACACCAAGAAGTGTGCCTTACTAATCCCCTAGGGCGGTGGTCCCCAACTTTTTTGGCACCAGGGTTGGTTTTGTGGAAGACAATTTTCCCATGGATAGGGGTGGGGTGGTTTCAAGATGATTCAAAGGAGCACACAACCTAGATCTCTCACATGCAGTACAGTAGGGTTTATGCTCCTATGAGAATCTAATGCCATTGCTGATCTGACAGGACACAGAGCTCAGGCAGTGATGCAAGTGATTAAACTGAATCATGAGGACTCTAATTCCAACAGTGAATTAATCTACTGATGAGATCATAGTTTAATGGCATTACTGGGTGGTGCTGGGAACAGGAGGCAGGGCTTAGGTGAAGTGAGTGGATTGTGGGGGAATGACCTTGGGAACTATATTTGAATCCCAGTTCTTTCCTATCAGGCTCCTGCTCTCTCTGCCTCTTAGCTGCCATGAGGCGAACAGCTTTTCTCTACCACATCCTTCTTTCATGTTCATCTTCACCGCAGGCCTAAAAGCAATAGAGCCAGGTTCATGGACTGCAACATCTGAAACCATGAGCCAAAATAAACCTTTCCTTCTCTAACTTGACTTTCTCAGGTTTTTGATCACAGTGACCAAAATCTGACTAACATACAAGCTATGCTCTTCAATGGTATTTTAGGGTTCCATAAACATTTTACTTTGATTCTGATTTATCTTCCTAGTGAGCCCTAAGCTTATCAAAACCATTATAAAGAAACATACACATTCAAAAGTGTTACACTGAGGTGAGAAGTCACCACCTTGTCTATATTTAGCTTCTAAAGAGGCCTCACTTGCATGCCCACCGCATCTACTCAGCACAATTCTAACTCACCTGCACCTCTGGGCACACACAGTGCACCACCACATCACCAGGCACTGCCTGCCAGCCCACAATTCCATTTTGTCAAAGCAGCTATAGTTTTCGGTCCCACAGTGCTTATAAAATTATCTGAAACTGTAATGCATTTCATTTTTGTGATTTATGAAAATGAAATAGAAGTATTTTGAAAATGCAAATATTAGGGACACTGGAGACAAAACCAGTGGGCATGACAGAAGAGGTGACTCTAGTTGTGGTCAGTGTAGAAGTAAGAATGTCACTGGGCACACAGCAAGCAGTGTTCACAGTGATGTGATCACACTGCTATTTCTCTCTCATGAACAGTCCTTCCTCTCTCCCTCTCCCTGATTAATATTGTACATGATTATTAACTCACTTTTGCACATGCAACTTCTTTTGGACTTTAATGTAATATAGCTCACCCATCATACAATTCACCTATATAAAGACTACAACTGAGTAGATTTCATTACTCAGAGCTTTGCAATCATTGCCATAATTGTAGGACATTTACATTCCAAAAAGAAGTCTGGCATCTCTTAGCCACAACTCCCAATTTGACAATTGCCTTCAGCCCCTGGAAGCCAACTAATCTATTTTCTGCCTTTAAAGATTTGCCTATTCTGGACATTTCATATAAATGGAATCAGATGATATCTGGTCCTTTGTGACTGCTTATTTCACTCAGTAAGTTTCCAAGGGTAATACGCATATAATATACATCAGTACTTCATTCCTCTTTATGGCCAAATAATCCATTGTGTGGATACATCACATTTTGTTCATCCACTCATTAGCTGGAAGCTTGGATTGTTTCTATCTTTTGGCTATGAGTATTGTTTCTCTGAACATTCATGAGTGAAGTTTCGTGTGTACATATATTTTCATTTCTTTTGAGTATATCCCCAGGAGTTGAAATGTCATGTTACAATGGTCATATGGTTTGGAAGAGTGTCCCCCAAAGAGCCACGTGTTAAAGGCTTGATCAAGGCAGCATTATAGGGAAATGATAGCATCTTTGGGAGATAAGGTTTTATGCAAGGTCCTTAGATCACTGGGGGCATGCCCATGAAAGGGATTGTGGGATGCCCTCTCTTTACTACCTGGCTCATGATGTAAGTGGTTTGCTCTTTCACACACTCCTGTCATGATATGCTGCCCTTGCCACAGGCCCAAAGCCATAGGGCTGCCTAGTCTAGGGCTGGAACTCCAGAACCATGAGCTGAAATAACTCTTTTCTTTTTATAAGTTAACTACATCAGGTATTTGATTATTACAAAGCTGACTAATACATATGTTAACTCTGTTTAACCTTTTAATAAATTCTAGACTTTTTCACAGCAGCTGCAACATCCTACATTACATCCAGCAATGTACAGAGGTTCTAATGTCTCAATAACATTTGTCTTTATTAGAATCATCCCAGTGGATGTGAAACAACATCTCATTCTGATTTTGATTTGCATTTCCCTAATAACAAAGTTGAATATATTTTCACGTGCTTGTTGGCTATTGCATTCAACTGTTAGATACATTCAAAGTAGAATTACACTTAAATTAGAAGACCTCCGGATTCCAAATCTGAATTGAGTGAATACAGCCAGCCAATATGCTAATGGGCTCTCATTTATTCACTTTATAATGAGTGAATTTTATAAATCTTAACCTAAAAAATACATACTAATTTCTTTTGTTTTTATATTGATGTTTCATAAATAATCTCATGACTTTTCAAAAAATTATAAAACCACTCATCTAATCAAATCTATCCCTTTTTCCCATGTGTAATAACCCC